AAAAACCATGCCTACATACTTTCTGCACCTATAAACGCCTGTATATAAATAAACCTTGAGCCAATTTAGCTGATTATAGAACTTCACGTAAGAATTTTAATAAATAAAAATGAATTATTATGAAATCCGACAACACTTGTCGTACATGTGTATATTAAGCTTGTGTGTCCACCAGTTAGCCTTATTTTCTTCTATAGAGCCTACAGCCACAATTTATGACATATTTTGATACACTAGCGTATTTTGACCCCGGCAAGGTCGAATGCTATTGATAATAGTTCGTAACAGACCACTTTTTCGAGCGCTTGCTACGCAAAGTCTCATCTTGAAAGTCATTATATGAATACCTGCAGTTTGACATAAGGTATTTAATTACGGACCGTAGCCCAAAGTCTATGGCAGATTTAACGCGATTTCCCCCGACAGACGGGAACACCTAAATTAATTCCACTATTAATCAAGTAATATTTTTTATACAATTTTCATTGCATCAACAATATACGACTCAACGTTTATGTTATTGGATTATGTTGTGGACTGCTAACACAAAAGAAAATTCTGTTCCGATTGTGACCGAATCTTTTATACCCACCAACCAAAAGGAAATTTTCATACTACAGATTATAGGGGAAGGCGAGCCTGATTATTTCCATTTTTTAGAATAAAACGCGAAATTTATCTATGCCATATCTATTACGGGTTATGAGTAACAAGTGAAAAACAGAGAAAATTGCGGGGAGTGGGGGATGTTCTCAGTTATTTTGCATAGGTATATGGGTGTTGTCGGCGTTTCGTTTTGTCCGGTTGTGGTCATTTTCAAATTCTTTCATATTTATAAACGCAGCAATGTTTACCACATATACGACACGGCCAGATGGACAGATGGGCAGACGAACAAAAGAATAGCGTGAGAATTCATTCCGAATCTGACACTGGCCCACAATATGTACACTTCGTGGGATTTTTGAAATTTGCTTCTGCTTGTTGTAAACGTTTTGATAAAGAAATTGAATTTTTCCACACTATAATATTGGATAGCCATGGTCCATTTTTTCCATTCTTGTACAGGTAGCGCAGCATCACCCATTAAACATACTTTTACATTTTTATAGATTTACCTGCTGGAGTAATGAGTAAAAAATTAATTTTCTAATTTTTTTTTGGAAAACACAGGTGTTCTCAGTTTACTTGATAAGCTAAACGTGTCCTTTGACCAATGTTGCCTGTTTTGAATGTCCAACCGTGTACAAAAACTTGCAATGCCTTGGCCAAATTCAAAGACGATATGTTCATCTTTGTGGCCAGGAGAATGTTTACTATCGACATAACACAGATGGGCCAACGGACAGCCGGACATTCGTTTGTTAAAATGATCAAATCGACTCGGAATTTGTTGCTGATTAAATGATGTGGGATCCTTGAAGCTTTTTTCTGGGTGTCGCAAACGTTTTGACGAAATGAATATGCCCCTCATCCTTCGCCGATGGATATACAAACAACGATACATACTTAAAAAACAAATTACATAGTTAATCACAGAGCGCACGATTAAGGCGCAATGTATTGATGATATATGTGCATTTTATTGTAAATTACAAGTGTGATGATAATAATAAATAGCATTAAAGAAACATAAATGATTACATTATTCACATCGATCTCCAATTTATATACACCTTTGACATATGCAATGCATAATTATGTACATACAATTCCTGCAATAAAGTTAAGTAACGCTTCAGAGAATGCGAGAAGAACGGATTTGATCGTAAAATAAATTTGCGAATCAATTTACTATAGTGAAATTAAATTTTTCAAATAAATTCATAGAAACATTTATTGAAAAATTCTACTTAAAATTTTCTTTTCGAACAAATGTCTGTTAGGACTAATGAATGGAAGATTTTTTCTCTCCCTCGATGAATACCTGCCGGAATAACATCGATTAACGATTCGATTATCATCAAAACGCGATGCAAAGAAATCAAATACAAAACCCTAACCTTAACACATCGCTTAGTTGAAGTTAGATATTTATGTTCATCTTCAGTGATTGCTTTAACAGAAATTCCACCATAAGAAGCTTATTAAGAAAATGAAAGTGAGAGCAGCTCTTGTAGACGAAGCAATAGTAATAGATGACAAGTTTGATGAAGTTTTTCACAGGAATTTGTCAAATCCTCTGCTAGGTAACTACAACAATATCAGCCTTGTCGAAGAACCAATGATTGTCGATCAGCCGAGGTATGATTTTCAGTGACTGATCTATGAAAAAAATTCAAAATTGAACGTAGGACATTAATCTCATGGGTTTCTTTTTTTTTTTTTTATATGTCAAACATTTTGAAAAAATACCTGAACGTATTCAAAACCAAAGTCATAAGTAAGGACTTTGAAAAGCCCACAAATTAAAAAAGGTTCTTAGTTATATATATATATTTTTTTTTAAACGAATCACGTAGGTCATGTGCCCTATACCTGCATAAACACGATGATTGGTCAAGGAGAAAGAAAGGGCAAAAAATGGATAGGGCATGACTGCAGAGTGGAGAGTTGTGTGCCGCACCGTTAAGCGTTATGCCTTTACCGATTAAGCACTCAATGTAGCCGCCCACTCGCACGCGAATCCCGATTAACGCATCGCCTACCGCATTGGGAATTGAACGCAGGTATCAGAAGACTTGATAGTCGCTCTCCTCATATACTTGGCGAAAAAAATTCGTTTCTTTTTTTTTTTTTATCCCTATTAATGTTGAGCTTAAGTTTTTTCTACCCGCTCTCCTTACCTTGTCGTCCTTCTATTTATACGATGTTCATTTCTCCTACACATAGATGGTAAAATTAACTTTTAGTCGGAATAGAATTTATAACAAAAAAAAAATAATCTGAAAGCATAGATAGAGATATGTGTCTGGCGGAATGTGTGTGCATTTTCTACAACAAACTACCATTTACTCATTTTATGCTTCTTTTGCTGAATCCTTAGGCTACTGTTGTTCGCTCGGCTCAACAGAGAAGGTTGCTATAATGTGTGCCCCCCGTACGACAAACATAAAAAGTTCTCAACCACTCACATGCGCATGCACATTCAGACATGCATAACCATTAAAAATTATTAGTTAAAAGGAAAATTATTTAAAAATGCTTTTAGGTGTTACGAAGAAAACGTTTTAGGGTAGCGTGTTTACAGTAAAGCACAAAAATTTGCTTCAAAAGCCAAATATTCAGCTGACAATATCGATTTTAATGAATTGTTTTCTGAACCATAAGTATACAAGAATAAAAGAAACGATTCCACACCTGCTATTTAAGCATTTTTTTTTGAAATAAAAAATTATGCAAATTTTCGGTAGTACCTCTCCAGCTAAGGACTGCATTTTTGGATCTTTTTCTGCCCAATTTTGACAATGGATGGCTTCACAAAAACTAATTTTTATAACACCCTTGAACACCACTTGCGCTTTGATTTGCAAATTTCTTCGTCTCCAAAGAACTTTTGGAACACAATTCTCCGAATTTAAGAGCATTATTGCGATTTCAATTATTCAATGGAATGATTTCGATAATTATTTATTAATATGACAAAAAGAACCTATAAGGGTAAATCAACTAGCATTCCAAGTCCATTTGTCTCAAAACACCGAGACTGCCACTTCAATTCAACTTTTCCCTTCACATATTCGAATTTAATTATTAATGCAATAATTGACATAAATGAATACATGAAAGCTGATGACACAATTTGCAGAACGGCTAACGCGAAAGTTTCTATAATCACAATTCGTATACCAGACTTTAAGATCGTAATCTATTAAGTGATAAATACCGAACTTGCCGAGAAAAAAACCAATCAAATTATCATGCAATTAATTGCATCTACCTTATCATGCTCAACTTATTTCCTTTGCTCTATAGGTAAGAAATCTGCACACACCTCGTTAAATTGCAAAAAATCTGGCTACGAAAACTTTTGCCCCTATTCTGCCCTTAATAAAAATTGATAGACGATTAAACATTCAATTAATTGAATTTACTGAGGAAATTAAAAATTTTGAATTAAGCTATAGAGTATATAAACAGCAATCATAGGTGAATATGCGTTATTTGTTTTTCACTCTTTATCTTAGCACAACGTGCACTTTTGCAACAAATTTATCTCAATTTCAGTTGCCAGCAAATCTTTGTTTATGGCAACAGCGCAACTTACAAAAGTAACAATTGCTAAGTTATACTAAGGTATTGCTTAAGGTTGTATGTGCATGTAAGTAATTACATTAAACTTGAGTTTTTATTTTTCCTTTCCAAGAGTAAAACGTCAGTGCACTGTAAGTGCATATGCATATATATACATATGCATTGAGTCTATGCACACAACTTTGGAGCGAAAGGACGATGGAGGATGTTATTCACAAACTGAGTTTTCACTCAGACATAACTTAAATAAGTAAAGCGCCGTACATTAAGCGAATTCCGATTCCTGCATCGATCGACTTTATAAGAAATAATTCATCCAAATTCACGACTTATGAAAAGTTTGTTTCTACTTTCAACATTCGCCTGAGACAAGACATAAGGAAATCGTTGCTTTCCACGTTTGATTTCCACGCAGATTCTCCCTATAGTTGGTTCGTCTTTCCTAATTACAATTAAATACAGAATTTGACAATTAAAGAGATCGGATGTAATGTTAACCTATTGCTTTTTCAAAATGTCTGCAAAAGTTCACCTAATATATTACTTTTCAAAATTATTTGATCTTCTCCTATGGATTCATGCAAACGTTCAATATATACATACAATGGAGCATATATTGAACTTGAGCATTTGATAAACTTCTGTCAGGTTAGGTTAGGTTAGGTTAGGTTATTTTGCTACCATATGAAATAATCATTGAGAATATTAATCCAGTGATGAGCACAATGTCCACAAATTAACGAATAAGAAAATTTAATTTAACCATTCTTTCTAATAAACTATATACACTTTATGCATCCGCTTACCACATTTACAAAATCCTGAAATGTTACATAACCAGGACCGGCGGGGGATTTTGCTTTTTTCGCTCTCTCAAGTAATAATTCACGTTTATTCATAGGCACTTGTGTTATAAATTCTGGCGATTTTAAGGCGTTTATGAACTCATCTACAGTTATTTCACCAAATCCTTCCGGATCAAACTAAACGATTGAAAGTATAAAACAATAAAAATTAATTTAAATTAACACAATTTAAATCACAAATTACATACCATGTCGAACAATAGTTTCCATTTCTGTAAAGAAAATCAATAACAAATAATAAGTGATCTCGATAACAGGATAAAATGTCGTTAAATTTTAATGCGTTTTCGCAAACATATACGAAAAATACAAAATTAATTCCTTTACTTACATCTCTTAATAGCTCTCGCCTCAGTTCAGTTTCGTCAAAATCTGAATTCAGCGACGTGTGTTCCGTATCGTAACCAGCATCGTTTGTTCCCTAAAATCAGTACGTAAATCTATTAAATTATATATATTTTTTCATAAATATTATAATACATTTTATAAAAAAACTTTTTTTTCAATACTTAAAATGAATGTTTATAATAAAATGCAAAAGAAAATTTCTTTGTTCTCTAAAAAAATGCTACAGAATTTTACCCATTTTTTGTCGTTTATGTTAGCATAATTATGCTGAGTGCTGGTTGCTTATGATACGTTCGAAGTTGTCAAATCTCGTCAAATCTCATATTTGACTTACCTCGCCGTAAATGTTTACAAATTATTAAAACCTAGTCTTCCATGACGAGAGCTTTATTTATAGTGGTACTACGTCTACTTTCCCATAGGAACAAGGTACAAAACTGCGAAATGCGAAGAGAATATTGCGTCCGGTTAAGCAGTTTCCTCAGTTAACCGGTATTCTCTAACTCCTCTAACTGCCCTAGACCAATAATGACAATGTTCATTAATATATTTTTACCATTGAGGCCTGCATATATCTTTAGATTATACAATAAACCTATTAAGAGAAATTGATAAATCTTTTCCATATTCATACGATAAAACATTTCCATAATACATTTTAGTTTTCATTTCAATGAAAACTTTGGTTCGAAGCAAAACTTTTCTAGGCAAAAAGACACACGGATGCATTGGCTTTATACTTTATGCGAACTCTGAAATTTCCTACTCAGTGTTGCAAACGTTGTGATAAAATGTATACACTCCTCGTCCTTCGGTAATGGGTGTAAAAAGAATTAAAATCTTGCAATAAAAATGGAATGATAGTTAATATAATGATAAAAATTTTATTTAATTATTTTAATTATATAAAATTGATAAGCTTGAACTCCCTAAATATGTATCTGGAGGAGAACTGTTGAATATTGCATATGTTACACATTTACATTCTACATATTCATGACTTTACTACTACTACATATTAATTATTTTTCAGTCCAATTAAGAGATTGTTTCGAAATCAATTTTCTCTACAACTGTATTCATTATTCCAAAAAAAAAAAAAAAGTTGCTATAGTAACAACAACAATGTCGCAGTACTTACATAACGTGGTGGATGTATGTGTGAAATTGTACCAATAGATACTAGGGAACCTGCTATCGTTGAAATGTGTTCAACATCGGCCAGCTTTTCTTGTTGGCTACAAATGCTGGTACCGATTTCTTCGCTCCCAATTGCTGCATTATTAATTGCTGTCGCTGTTGCTGTTGATGTTGCTGTTGCTGTTGCTGTTGCTGCTCCAGTTGCTGTTACTGTCGTTGTCGTATGAAGAGCAAGCGAAGTTGAATTCCGTTCACAAATGGTCCACATAACGATGAAACGTCTACTTTAATTTTATGTGTATCACATATGTGTATCACATAAAATTCATAAACTAATTTCTTTTGACTGAATTAAGTTTGCACTCTTAACTTCGAGCAATAACTTTTGAATTTCAATACAATTACTTTTTATAAAACTTTGATTCATTGTCGTTTAAACTTCACTACGATATTGCCTCTAAACTGCTTCTAAAAGTATTAAAATATACCTTTTACTAAATCTTTTGCTTCTTTCTCATCCTAAAAGTATGCAAAGTTTTCAAGCTGGAAAGTAAAACCATAAAGTAATTGATATTACACATATAACGAGGGTCGCCAATAGCCTGAGTGGCTAAATCGCAGGCTGCGACGTCGCATTATAAATGCAACGGGTTCGATCCCCACGCGAGTTGGTGGCGGTGGATTGCTTTCTCGAGGACTTTTTCTCCTTGTCTTTCATTGCTTCGCTTACAGAGAAATGTTTGTGTTATATTTATTATTATTATAATTAACCCCTTTAATAAAACAATTTTAAGCACGCAATTGTGTTTGTTTGCGATCGCATAATTTCATATTAAATGGGGTAAAGCAAAAATCAATCCCGTTAAAATTATAGCAGACGATTTCATTACTGTCGGCTATTTCATGCGCGGGAAACAAAACTTTTTATATTCTGCGCGACTGGATGGATTTTGCTTTCCGTAATGTGAACAGCTAATGGTCGCCTACATATGCGGGCACACAATCTGATGGTCAAAAAAAAGATATTATGGGCAGGGAAAGAAGAAAACGCAAAATAGTATTTGCATGCATTCGGCTTAAAGATGCAAGCAACTGAAATAATTGGAGAGATCACCGCTGAGAACTTCTTCCAAAGGCGAGTAGTAAGATTAACAAATGACAAAGCGAGCTTTGAGTCTAGGATCGGTTTGTGGGAACGGTGTTAATTGATTTGATAGGCGGAGAAAACACTTTTATTTAAATTTTTTTTTTTGTAACCTATTATCGATCTCCTTGCAAATTCTGCCCTAGAAGATTGTAATTTTTTAGTTGTGTTATCCAGTCTCTTCAGTTCATAAACGTTCATAAAAAAGTATTGTTGAAGCCGCATATGTGCTTCATGAAAACGAGAAGACTCTACTTTCTTCAATTTTTCTTCGCAATTACGAACGACTGATAATGCCAAGAGTAATCTTAAATTGTAACTTTCACAAATCAACTCCAATGTGTAGGGCCATCTTTCAATCGAACTTTTAGACAGCGCTTATAAGTAGTTCATAATTCCTGGGACTAAAATATGTTTGTTTTATTTTTTTAATATATGCAAAATGCATATATAGGCAAATATGTTAATAGTTTCCATAATGACGTCATCATTTAATCTAAATCTTTTTCCCTGGAACATCCTCCTATATATATATATATATATAATCGTCGTTGGGGCGCTTGATTTGGAGAATACGATGGATGAGGCGACAATTCGAAACTTTTTGCATTTGTTCAACTGTCCGTTAAAATAGTACACATTTGGAAAACAGTTCCATAATAGGCAGTTTTGTCTGTAAGTTGTGTGTAGCACGTAGCGAACGCAATGCCTATTGATATCTTAAAAGTGTCTTCACTTTTCGATTAATGAAAACATAATAATTTTCATGATTTTTTCGATACCTTGGTATGTGCCCAATACTTTCACCATTGCCGATATCCGTAAGACACCAGTCAATCACCGTCGACTTATTATTATTATGTTCGACGACGACAATGGATGGGTGTACGTCAGTAAGAGGCAAATGTAATCAATACATGAAATTTGGATTCTTCCTTCTTTTGAAAAAAGGCAAAATTACAGTCTGATAATCAGTTCAAGAAATATGACCAAAATGACAAACAACTTTGCGAGGCGTCGTTTTAAAATCCTTCCTGAAAATTATTAACCAACGACAATGTTCTTTACGCAGAATGGATATAAACCGTATACATAAATTGTAACTAACTTTATTTTCTTTCTGATATTTTCAGATGAATTTTATTAGGTGTTTTACTTTTTTAAGCTAATTCACGGAATGCTCGAGGACCGAACCATTTGCAATAATAATCTGTAAACCTGAAGGAAGAAGACGACTAACCATGCTTTTGCCCAGATATGCACTATGTCGGCTTGATAATTTCGGTCAAGTATATATATATTGTAGGTATAGATTATGATAAATATTTCCGAATATTATGAATGGAATCCAATGACTGATATATCTTTACATTTTAATGGTAGATATAAAAATTGGCAATTACTTTTCGAATTACCTAATTGAGAAAAAGAAAAAAAAAATAGATTCGATTACGGTACAGATTAGATATTCAGAGACTTTCACTTCGGCTATATTTTTCAGACAATTTCGTCACTCAATTAGGAATAAGTGGTAAGTGAAAGGCTGCCTTATATTCGGCATATTTATTATTTTTTTCTTGGTTTTTTTTTTTTTTTTTTTTTGACACACGTGCTTATAACAGCTATTTAGGTTTTTCTTTTTCATTTCCTGGCGTGCTTCGACATATGACAAGCAATACCGGCATTTACTTGGCAAAAAACACTCGCAACTGACATATTTGTAATGCGCACAATCGACAATTGTTTTATGGTTTCTCTTTACATTTTTTTTTTTTTTATTTATTGTTTTTCTTTATGTCGTTATTTATACAGAAAGGCAATTGAATAACTGTAAAGATGTCGATATAGCTTTCACTTTAATTATTCATTTAATTGAATCTTTCTTTGGCGATTTAAAAACAATAAGTAGAGAATTTCTTTTCGCCCCATAGCGCGAAATTTTAATTCGCTGTTTCAAGCGTATATGCGAAATGTGTACTTTTTCATTCCAAAAGAAAGAAAGAAAAAAAAAAAAAATGAACCGCCACAATAGAGGCTATAACGGGAATTGCAATAACCACCAAATTAGAATATGACAAATTTTTCCCCACCAAATCGTAAAAAACATGCTTGCTTTCTGATCCAACTTTTCATAATTTTTTGTTTTTTTTTTTTTTCATCTAACTATTAGAAATTCACAAACATTTATTTAAAAATTTCTTACAACTTCGCAGTGCACGTTACGGTTTAAAGGAGTAGACGAATAACGATTAAATGACAACGTAAACTGAAAGAAGAGTACAAGTGCCGACAGAGACATTTTATACAATTTTAACTGTGTTAGTATTCGATAGCAATGTGTTTATTTTTTCTACTAAGGGTTGCATACAGGAAATACTCAGCCGCAAACGGTACACTTACGCACGGACAGAGACATTCCTCGCAACATGAAAATGCAAAACAAAACAACCGGCAAAGAAAATAGCACTTGTACATTCTTACATGGAGTCACACATAAATGCCCAGAAGACAGGGGATGGTTGGTTAGTTGTTTATTTGCTTCTCATAATAGCGTCGTAAGTTCAACGTGCAAGCGTATATCTGGGCAAGGGGAGCAAGGAGACAATTGCACGATTGCTTTCTTAGTATCAGATTACGGCATAGTGAATGGCAAAAGCGTTATCTAGTTTCGTGTTTGCAATGCTGTAGCAGTTTTAACGCAATTCATATACGAACGCAGTTAATTTGCAACAACATGCACTGCCTTGCAGAGGATAAATGCAAAATATTGCAAATTCCGTATCTAATCCGATGTTAAATCTGATCGAACGAATCGGTTCAGTATGTTCGAGGTAGGTTTCAAAGTTGAAGAATGAAAAATTTTTTTTGAAATAACAAAGCACGCTACACAACGAATTTTAAAAATAGTTTCACGACATACATGTTTATACTCATCTTCGAAAAATAAGGGGTATATTCACTTTGTCAAAACATATGCGACACGCGAGTAGGAAGCTTCAGAGACCGTGCAAAGTATATATGTACAATTGCGATCAGCATTAATTTATAAACCGCTTTAAGCCTATTAATCTATCCGTCTGTCCGTCTTTCTAATGTCTGTGGTAAGCATTTCCCCCCCCCCCCCCCCCCCCCGGACTTAAAAATTTGCAAGGACACGCCTACAACGGCCGCACACCTATGTAACAAAAACAATAAATTCGTTCGCTTTCCCGCTTTCCTGATCGATACTCAAACACTACAGCAGACACACACCATTTGTTTCCGCAAAATTGTTCTACAAAATAAGATAACGGCGATGGGTTTAAAAAATTCTATCACATTCGAATAATTTACGTACATGTTGTAATTAATTTAGGCAGATTAATATATTGGAAGACTAACATTTTAAAGCACTTGTATTTAAGGCCATCTGCTTTATTGAAAATTCTACCGCACTTGAGATTTGAACGCACGACGATTGAGTCGAGATCTCTTGCCTACTCGGCTACTCAAACGTATCCAAATAAATATAAAATAAGTACGAAAACTATATTCGGATATGATCGAATCTTTTACATCCGTTATCGTTATTCTAAAAAAAGATAAACAACGTAGAAGAAGTTAACTTTCGTGATCTATAATATGAAGTGGGCGCGGCTGATTTTTTCTATTTTCAAAATAAAATTTTTTGTCGCATGGGAATGTGTTCGTTGTCGACGCATCCTTTAAGTAAATTAAATCACTTTCAAATTCTTTTGCGAATTTATAGGTGATATCTTTATTTTCGCTAACCAGAGAACGTTTACCGCAAATGCTACACAGTTGGGCAGACGGACAGACGGACAAACGAAAAGAAGGACATGCTTAGGTGGATTCCAAATTTGAAACTGACAAGAAATTTATAGACTTTGTTGGGCTTTCGGCATTGAAAGTGTTGATACACTATAGCATTGAAGAGGCGTGGTCAATTTTTTGGACTTTTCGTACAGTTGCTACATCATTGCCCATCGAATATGCGTCCAAGTTTTTGTACATTTTTTTGTTGTAGTTTATGAGTAATAAGCAAGAAAGAAATTTTTCATTCCGTTTACGTGATGCTGTGGGCGTGTCCTTCGACCGACTTGGCCCATTTTCAGTACCAACATGCCTGAAAGAGCTTCCAACGTTTCTGGCAAATTTAAACTCGATAGCTAGATTAATATGCTTTAATTGGTTTATAAATTGATCCTGATCGCGACTGTATGTACTTTATGCGGTCTCTGAAGCTTCTTTCTGGACGTTGCATACGTTTTGACAAAATGAATGTACCCCTCATCGTTCGGTGATGGACATAATTTTACTTTTTTCACTGAGTCGGTAGTTGCGATTCGAAGACACAATCTTAAATAATCATTTGCGGCTTTGAGCTAAAGCATCTTCGAAAGCATCGTTTATCATACACATTTTACTATGACTACATATCTAGGTACTATACTCATTCCACTCTACACCACTTACGTTACAAGAGTAAATGAAGCTTGTGCGAAAGTTTGCAGCATCCAGAAGGACTTAAGATAGGCCCAGGTGTTGTTATTGTCATAAAATGATACTGCATGGATCTATGCTTCTCTGTCCGTATATCGGTCTGTCTGTTTGGTTTTTTTGTGCGCAACCTAAAGGCCCCAATTTTTAAAATATTTCGATAAAATTGAACGGAATTGACTGAATGCATTGAATGAACCAATTGAATGAAATGATAGCACGTTGACGTGTTTTAGTGCGAGGGCGAACGGTATTGGGTATGGTTCGCATCGGATCGGATCGGATCGCTTCGATTTCGACCATTTCCCATATGATGCCTTATTTGGAAAAGCTAATATATGGACGATTGTAGGCCGGTGTGCGGTGTATAATGATGGGCCCCACGCGCCCCACTATAGTGTTTTCACCTTTCATAGAATAATTTTCAGAAAAATTGTGAAAAATTATATCTTACAAAAAAAAAAACATCAAAGTTATTGGAAAATTGTCGGCTATCGCCTTCGGACGAGTTTGTGTAACCCAGCGCCTCAAATAGTTTTTCTTCACTTTGAAGTCATCATAGAAACGTATGTATCGTATAAAAGATGTTTAGTTTTATTTGCAATTATCCCTTATTACAATTATTTAATTTCATCTTTTTTTTTTATTTTTTTTTTATTTTTTTTTTTATTGTTTTTTTTGTTTTTCTAATCACGTTACTAATAGTTGTTCTCATAGTTGAGTTTTATTTGAAGCAATTCTTAAAATAAATTTTTTGAAAGTTCCTATAGAAAAAATGTAAAAAAGATTTGCAACAAAATGCTTATAAGAGAAACACGAAACACATTTACAAGACTTTTCGAATAGGAATTTTCGGATTCTTGCAGAACTGTTTATAACAAAACTTACTTTATACAAACACTTAAATACGTTATAAATAAATTTAAGAAGTAATAACAATTATTTTTGTTCGCAATTTACACCTTCGGAATTTGTCAGCAAATTTCTATATATGAAATATATTCGAAAATCTAAAATTCATTTATTCATTGCATTCTTTCAAGGCATATTCCCACATAATAATAATTCTTCGAATCTGCTACCGGCATACACAATACTTGGCCCAATAGCTTTTAAACCGTTTAGAAGAAAATTTTCTAAAACATATTTGTGCAAACATTTGTGTGTGGAACACGCTGGCAATGTAACCTTTTCCTTATCCATCAAACTCAAGGTATAAGAAAACAAGCGGTCCTACCTGGTGATCCCTAAAATACATATAGAAACTTCTGAAAGGTGAATGTAAAGGGGTTTTATCGCGTGGACCGAGTACAAGAGCTTAAAATATATGGACGAATGTTTTCAATGACAACAAACGACAACAAATCTCGTATAAGAAGACAAGCAAAGTACGTCTACTGGAGATGAGCTTGAAGTTTCAATAGCTTTCCTCCCAATCATCAAAATCGAAAGAGAAGGTTGAAGCTTACCGAATGTCTGGTGCACTTTCACGGACCATACGCTATTATAAATACTTCGACAATAGCTAAACATTCTGCGAAAGCATATTAAGTCTGTCCGCTGTTTAATCAAATTTTTTTGAATACATGGCAAAGCGAAGACCTCGTAACTCTTAAGTACATGGTATGTACTTAAGACCTCGAAGACCTCGAAGACCTCGTAACTCTTAAGTACATAGTACGTGCACATTTTTATGCAATTTGCGCATCACAGGCTGTTCTATTAATTGCGAAAAAAATTCTTCGCTCGATTTGAGTGAACATGGGGCAATAGGCTTTTAAGTAAGAAGCAATCTAAAACCAAACTTAAAACTCTAAAGCTATAAAAAATGTAAAAATTATTAATTTTTGCTGATTATAGGCCAGCCTCCGACTAGAGAGACGAGAAAACATCTGAAATTAAGTTGTTTTTTATTTTTTCGGCATAAAATTTTCTTAGATTCACAATACCTTGAGCAAAGGAACACATGAACCGAGAGACATGACGAAACAAATACCTTTTAACATTAATGAAGTATATGCGTACTGTAGATGATCTACTAGTCTATTCGGGCAATTTGACCTCCAACTGCGATAGATGCGAAAAGACAAATTCCAGAATATATGATTGCCTATAATTTTGCACAGATATATGTTAGTTACCGCACAAAAAGTAAATTTATCTTATAAGACAGCAAATTCTACGCCCGTAATTAACGAATATTACAATCCTTGTATGTATTCATCTCAGATGATGCATCTATGAAATGTGCAATGACGCGAATATATGTTTCTTCTCATTACTTTCTTGCACTGCTTGATGAATGCCGGACATAACTTGTTGTCGAATTTTGAATTCTGTCTGAGCTTAAATGAATACATCGAAAGCGTAAGCAGATTATAAAAGAGGAATGGCAACTGATACTATTTAAGGGTAACTTGATAACTATTTGCATCGAATTCTATATTCTATCTACATCCACTACTGATTACAAGTTACAATTTTCAGTCAATTGAGTACACTACTACACTTACTATTACTTTCCTACTTTTAAATTTGATCGGTTGCTATTCAAATAAGATCATAAGTACCAATCATTATCTTTTATTATCTTCTTGTGCCAATTATTTCAAATTTGAGAATTTCAGCAACGTTGGCGTACATGACGAAATCAATTCACAATTTTATGCTGATTACACATATGTGCCACCGGATTTTTGGATATATTGAACTAATAGACCTAATATAGTCTCATCCCTTAGTTGTTTCACTACTTATTTAAAAATAAAATTATGACCAATATGACCGATATGCATGTTATTAAAAATCTTATCTTTTGACAACGTTCGAAACTGTTTCAAATTGCAGCGAATCACAGGGAAAATACTCCCTATCACATAAATAATAATTTTAGACGAGGATAGCGATCACGATCACGCTGCGATAGTGAAAAAAATATGCATGAATAGTACTGGCTTGAGATGAAACATATCGCATCGAAGGGATGCCAAATTCATCAAAACTAAAACATGTTATAGATTTTTGACGGGAACCTTCTCACCGCCTTCTCGTTTGTCTGAGTTAACTATGAACGAGAAGCGTAGACTCGTAGGCCCAATCAACCATTGTTCTATGAAATTTGTTCTTCATATATGTACATGCATTCTCTGTACGTAATCATGGATAAATTTATTGCCTATTCGTTTTATACTATAAATATATGTACATGCATGTATTCTTATGATATTCAGAGGATGATGTTTTAGTTGTAATTATTTAATTCGCATGCTAGGATCTGACGACTTACATGTAGATGTATAGTTGATACTGAAATATGAAAAATCAAATTTTATGTAAAGTGTTCGATGCACAACAAGCGTATTCTTATAGCCTTCTATGTATAGAAATGAATTACAATAAGTTTAAAAAAAACACTTAATGAAATGATGAATTTATTTACACATTTTTTTATAAAAATAAAAACTTAAACATAAATAATAATAAATGTATCGTGCTACTACACATTTATGATGTATATCAGACGATATTCATGAATAATCTCAATAGGCTAATGGGGTAGAGGGGATTCATATAGTTAATAGATTAAAAATCATTGCATTATATGAAGGCGTATGAAAATCATTCTTCGATCAGCCTTTTTAGTTCTTTTCCCCAAAATATGGATTTAACATTCAATGAAATCTAAATAACACGACGCTTCTAGATATATAACACTTCTATTTATAATTATATGTATATGTGTATGTAGGTAGATATATATTATTGTGAATGTGATTCTACTTGTAATTGATAGGCAGATGGGAGAGATTATTAAAGAATGAAAACTAAATCTCAATCAATATCAAATAAAAACAATCGAAATTATGAAGCAATAGAAGGAAAAAAAAAACAATTAATTACTAAAATATTTTAATTTTAACAAATAAATTTTATGCTTTAGGGATTCATCTTTTCTTTTTTTTTTTTTTTTTTTTTTTTTTTTAATCTATTTCATCGCTTATAACTGTTTTGGTTGATACCGTTATTGATTTCATTGAATCTAGTTTAAAAACCGCTCTATTACAATATTAAACAAAGTTTTTGAACAGTAGCAGAAGCAGAAACAGAATGCTTGGAACATTTTTTAAAATAAAAAAAAAAAAAAAAACTAAAAATGAGAAAAGAAATCCACACAAGGGAATCGACTATTTATGTGTTCATCGCGCGCGCGTATCTAAGCCAGCAGCAATTTAACCTTCGAGCATAGGTCATGGCCAAGATGAGCATCGAGCGATAACCATTCTTGCGATCTCTTTGATTTCTTCATAAGGGCTTGGATGCGTTATTAGTTCTTTAAGAATTTGTATACCATTCTCTTGTTCAACAAGTAAACAGTACTTGTCAGGATAGACCTAAAATTATCAACAAATTATATTAAAAAAAGCAATCAATCAATTAATCTTCTTGAAGCACTCACTTGTGTGAGATTAGCTAAAGCCCAAACAGCCCAATGTTGGCACTGTGGTGTTTCGTAGCAGCGCACTAAGCCTAGAATAGGCTCAAAACTGCGATAATTAATATTGCGTTCACTTTTAATGTCCCAGCGTCTGATAGCCTCAACCATACTGGCTAAAACTTTTTCACGTGACGGTTCCCTTATAGTCCAAGCTACAGGTCCATCGGAAGCAATGTGAGCCAAAACACCAGCAGCATTATAACTAACCTAAAACGATCACAATCAATCGTTATTGATTTAATTAATTAATTAATTTATGTGTTCCTCACCTCAATACCATCGCTTTCTGAAGATAATAGCTCGGCAAAAACTTCAATGAATTTCTGTGTCATTAATTTCGGCCTCAGCCATTTAACTTCGGCTACGTTACCAAGCAAACCCATCATATTTCTTAGCAATTCGTCTCGTTCCCTAAACGTCTGGTATTGAAAATGTACGCATATTATTTTTCAATGAAATTTAAACCAAAACGCTTATTACATACATTTAAACACCGTAGGAAATATTCCATACCACGACCGTCTAAAAATCTCTTACAATTAATTGCAGTCTCATCAGTTACGTTCCACATTGTAGACCAGGCTACCTCCATAACATCGTCAAATACAGAGCGTGTTAAGCGATCTTTAATTAAACTTAGCATAGTCTGAAATAACGACAAAAAGCAGAACAATTATTATCTAAATCAAATCTAAATCATATCAAACTTAAAAAAAAAAAACAATCACTTACACTAACCACACCTAATTCACCCAAAAACAATTTCTGTTTACCATCCACTTGACAAGCCAAAGTGTTTAGCAAATAAATGGCTATTCGTTGGACAAATCCTTCTTGTTCAGTTTTGGAAACTCCATGCAACAAGACCGATATTAAACGCTCATATTCGAATAACTGTAAAAATCAAATCGAAAATGACATTAAATTTCATTTAAACTTTACGCAATATATTCAAATAAATCATATTAACTATTTATATGTAAATTGGAAAAAAGCAAAAGCTAAGAAAGTCATATCAACTTCGCAATTATATAATTCGGAAGAAAAATTTGCTTTTCACTTTCTATATCATATCAGCATCAGTTATTGTAAATATTTGCACTGATGGCTTAATCGAATCAATGACTTTTCCAGTTTAAGCAATTGACGAACGTTCGACTCGTCAAATTACATATTTATTTATTATAATATAAGAAGATGATATAATCTAAATATCGATCTATATTATGTAAATAGAATAGCTAGCTAAGCCTTTTCACAAAATATGTATGTATTATTACACTACACAATCTGACTCACAGTCACATAGTCAGGAAGGAATGTGCCGTATCTGGGACAGTAAAACCCCAACAGAGGAGAAAATTTGAGACAAAGATGCTTGACTGCCGTGCATACAATTTCAGCATAATAATCACAGCACATTTGGTAGGTTAATCGAGTTTGATTGAGCTACGAACTGAAGCAAAACTTATGCAAAACTTTCGTTAACAGTCAATCAATTTATTCTTATCTCGAAATCAAATAAATACATGGCCAGTGTAAAAGATAAATAAACGAATTAAATAAGCGAAAGTTAACATTCGCACAAGTGATTGAGAATCACATCGCAGTATGATCCGTTATAAAAACATTATACCCTTGATCCATCAATTAATATCCCTTATGCATTCATATGTAAATTTTAAAAAGGGATTCGCTCACGCGAATAAGTTCTTTGAGGCTGAATGTCCAAGAGTAGAGAACTATACCTTTTCATTTTAGAACTAAAAGAGCAGTTCTTATTGGGATTTTAGAGAGAGAGAGAGAGAGAGAGTGAGAAAAAGAGTCGATGCTTATTTTTTAACTGCCATTAAGTTTTATAAGTTAAGATGATCATCGTCTATTTTGCGGTAAAACATATGAAAAATTTTCATCGACATATTTAATGCATTTATGTTTCCCTTAATCTTAACGGTGCAAACAATTTTTTCAGATATGTGTTTTGCTGAAATATTTTTAAATTTCTAAATAAATCAAAACTGTATTCATTTCCATTTGCCAAGATTTAATTGCATTAATCGCCGCATCTTACAATACATTAGTAGAATATATAAATTTTTGAGATCTGAACACAAGGATTAAGTAGAAAAGCGACAGTTTATACTGCAAGCAAATATAGATTGCAGAAAATTGAAAACTATGTCCAAGAGCACTCTACATCCTTTTCTTATCCTTTTTATATCCTACACTAATTGTTGGTATTTAAGGCATTCATTAAGTTTGTGCGGATGTATGCAATATCCAGAAGGATTCGTTACATCGATTCAGAAAGCGATTGTGTGTGGATCGATTTGAAACTATCTGTTCGTCTGTTCATCTCATTTTCGTCTATGCAACCTTCATCAAGGCGTCAATTTTTGATGAACGCTATTGGTTCAGATCGGATTACTTTATTTTGAAAAGTTGTCATATAAAAAGCTGTAGGTTGATGTAGGATATTTAATGACGGGCCATGGCCCACTTTAGTGCTTTTACTTATTCATATATACATATCAGGTAAATCGACCTATTGCGTGTTCCGAAATTTTAACTTTCCAACAAAAGCGTTTTCCATTTTTATCAGTGTTTTTGAAATCTTTAACTCGCAAATCAATTACCAAGTATCGCGGATTTTTTGATTATCAATTTTTAATATCTACTGCATATCGAAAATGAATATCTATGCCACATTAACGAAATGGCGAAATTAATGTTACTTTCCGTCATGTGTCAAAAGCGAATAATAAATATATATTAATATGCATTTGTGATTACTCACCACATCGGTGGGCATCTGAAATTGAGTTAGTGTTAGGTAACCATTTCGTAGCATTGTATCGTCCGTAATGTGCACTTCCATGCCATTAAGTAACGTACGTATTATGTGATTTCGTAATGGCGTTCCAAATTTTGCTCTATCACGGCCCTTCACTATATAAAATAGTGTTGCGCTATATAATATGTAAAATCAAGAAGTAAGAATAGAGCATCACTTCCAGTTCAATAGTTTACTTTTTTTAATAATAAGCTTGAAAAGAATGAATCATTTTCTTCTTTGTTACTGACCTGCCAGAAATTTGCATATGCTTAAATTTCAAGTGTCTATCCATGGCTGTCAGAACAACATCAAGTGCTGTATGAATATCTTTACAATTTTCGAAGCGGAAAAGATGATACAAGTCATTTAAAACCTAGGAAAATAAAGTAAGAGCTCAAATCTATTATATTCGGCAAAATAAATAAATCAACGTTAAGGATAATGGAAGAGCTTTTCATACTTTTATGATTTTTAGTAGCAGTCTGTTTATTACTTCCGTTTGTTTTGAACGAATCATACTTACCCTCGTTAAAAGCACAGGCCTATCATAATAGTACCGTGCGGCGGTTAAAATCTGTTGTTCGTTTGCATCCCCAGCAATCTAAAATTAAAAGCAAACAAAAAGCTATATAAAAAACTATCCAACGAAATTAAATCCCTTAAATATTTTTTATGATAAATCGCTTAGGATGGCACTGACAAATAATGCTAAACTGTACATATGTTAAATTTGAAACATTCCGCGAATGCGTGTTCACAGCATATTTACAAAAACGACCAGTAAAAAAGTTATATTCATTTTGAATCGGATCTAGAGTGTTCAATAGCATTGTATTTTTCCCTGTCCTAATTATTGATATCAGTTAGACAGTTGAGAATTTAGAGGAATTTCTGCTTGTCGTTTTAAAGAATTTCTTAAGTTGTTTGTTTTGCTATTTTTTTCCGATATTATCTATTTTTAAAGTTAATCAAGTGTTTATTGCTAAAAAAAACAAATAAAATCACTATAGTGGATGACGACTCATCATTAAATACCCTACACCGGTCTACAGTCACTCATATAATGGCTTTCAAAATAAGGCATTATATGAGAAGCGGTCGTAAAAGTGGTCCGATGCTAACCATTTTTAATAACATTCGTCTCTGGGCCAAAACAAATCAGTGTATCAAGTTTCATAAAAATAACTGAAAACTTGTCGCCTGTAAATTAAGCACAAGAAAAGACGGACAGACAAGCTTAGATCGATTATGCATCATTTTCTGTATAATGAAAGATAAGCCGATCTTAAATCCTTCTGTGTATTGCATACATTCGCACAAGCTTAATATGGCTTTGTATCACAAGTGGTGCATGGCATAATTATACATATGCGGAAATATTGTTAGCTTTCTATCTCAATTATTACAAATATGCGAATTCTAACAATAGCATGATACTGACTAGATAAGTTGAAAAGGTTGCACTGATCAAGAGCATAAATACTTTATGGCGCCCATTTCGTCTCTGCAGTCTATGCAGTCCTGCAGTATTTTGTTATGGTTGATGAAAAAAATGTTATCCCAAGTCTCGTGGTTATAAATACAATAACTAGAGGGCATACGTATATATAATTATTTTATGATTTCAGCAACTGCTCACCTCAATAGCTGGTATATCGTGACGTTTACAAGCCCAGTGGGCTGTATGATATAAACCTAAAAACTGCAACGGTCTTTGAGTACGCGACACCAAACCGGGGATATCTGTGTTCTTGTAACATGAACCCTTTGTAGCCACTCCATTTCCGGCTAAGTTTGTACCCGATATATCTAGGTGTGTTAGCTCGCGCAAATTATCCATTAACATTTCAAGTGTCTCATCAGGGAAATCATAGGTTCCATGGCCATTACCTGAACTTGATATCGATATATCTAAAGTGCGAAGCTGTTTCAATGCGCAAATAGCATGAAGTCCATTCTCAATAGGCCAAACATTGAACAATATTAAAGTGTGCAATTTTGGTAAAGAAGTTAATGCGCTCAAACTAAAATTACCCAAAACACATGACGTTAAATCTAAATGGATCAAATCGTCTAAGTGAGCAAATTGCAATTTATGATGTAAGGGAACTCCGTTCAGAACAAGTCTTCTCAAATTGGGGCAATTTAGTTGAAAATCAACCGGTTCTTTGTCGTTTGGATCGCGGTTCTGTAGCATATGGGATCCGATACCAAGTTCCAATGAACGTAAACTTTCACCGTGATGCGCAAGCAATTCTTGCGACCATTCAGTAATTCGATCACAATACCATATCGACAGTGAATACAATTCGTGACGCATAAGTATTGCGAGTCCTAAAAATATAGATGAAATAAAGAAAAATGACGAATACTCTCATGTCACTTACCAGAATTTGTTAATGTACTATTTCGTAAGTGAACAACTTTCAAGGAAGTTCGATGCTTATCACGAAATAAGGTTACAAAACGATCATCTAGATGACGATAAAACTGCTGATAAGCTTCTAGCAAACGATCACATATATCATTTGGCAACACAATACCATCGCGTAGTATTCTCGATCTGTCAAGTGACTCATCTTCGTAGCTAATTACATCCAAATTATTGCAAATATATTTATAAGCAATGTCCTGAAGTGTCATTGGATCCTCATCTAACACTCCATTAGGTTTCAATCGCACCTTGCCACTCATACTTCGAAACAAACTTAATGTCCGAACGCCTAAAATTATATAAACAAAGAGTTATTACTAATCGCAATGCAATTATGACCTCCGCCTATATTTATGAAAAGAAAAAACTCCGTGTTGCAACGGAGTATTTACAATGTAAGAATATATACATGCTATAAAATCTTTTAGATACGTATAAATCTCTTAATACGTATATAATTTATGCAAATTATATATACATATATATATATATATACATATATATACATATATATATACAAATATGTACATACATGTATATATGCAAATATTTTTAAATTTCTAAAAACAATTTAAATATGTGCAAATACACGAATTCATAAATACATATTTTTATGCATATATACGTAGGCCTATAGAGAAATATATATATAGTAAAATTAAATTTATGCAGTTATGAAAGTATAGTTAATGCTCTTTCGCAGGCAGCAAAATCAACAAAGGCTTCACCCTTATGTTATTGTCCTGAAAGTAAAAATACCTTTAACATATCCATTTTGCCACTTTAGATAGCCAGTAATTTACTTCTTAATATACCTAATTTCTATTCTTTGACACTCATTAGAGCCCTTAAAAACATCTGACAATAATCAGAGCAAATTTTGCAAGAGAAAATGCATATAACATTCGCATGATGTTGTCATGTAATTCAAATTACGAATACCGTCCTGTGTCATTCGAATACGACGAAACCTGGATAAGACGTCTATTGGCATATAAAGCTTTGTATATAAAAAAAAAAAAAAAAAAAAAGTTTACCTAAAGTCTGTAGCAACAACTGCTACTCTCGCTTTTGTCCTTGCAATGCAGAATGATTTCACTTATTATTACTACCTCTACGCAGTTCTTTGTAATTACAGTTGTCTTCTATTTCATAAGAAAATTGAATGATTTATTATGCACTGTTTCTCTTCTTTTTTTTTTTTTTTTTTTTTTTTATATAGATTTAAATTTTCACCAATTACAAATCTGCTCAATTTGTTGTTATATCGTTTCTTCTGGAATTCTACAAATAGTCACTGTCAATTTTTTTCTCTTCTTCAATTTTTCTTTATTCGCTTTTCTATTCATTTACAATCGTGTAATGCATCTTTGTAATATATTTAAATTTTGATTTCTTCAATAGTAAAAACGGCGCGCCTATTTTTCTTCCACAATAATTTGTGTAACTTTTTTATAATTTAATATTACACAGTTCTTTTTTTCACTCTGCAAACAATTTTTTTTTCGAGAAAATCGAAAGAAATTTCGTACTCTAATCTTGCGTCTGACGTTTAGTTTACTTGTCAATTTCAGATGGCTGTATTTTTATTTTTAATAACAGAGTTGTCTTCAGAAAAAAGAAAAAGTAACATAATGAAGACTCGGAGTAACGATTTAACGTTAAGACTAGACATTCGATATTATTTCCATTTTTAATAATATCTCAAATTCAAAAAGGTGGACGGTATGTTGTTGTAGGAATTTATTTGAATATTATGAGAGCATGTTTCAATTGTATATGCAATTAGGAATACGCTCTTCGTTAACAATATTTCCGAAATCAAATTTCAAGCCGTCAGAAAATTTGAACGAACTTCCACGTAATGTTCTTTGGGGTCATTCTTAATATTTTTGAATATCATGGTTTCGTACTATTTCTGTAACTTATTGACTGCAAAAGGAAACTTGTAGGATTTAATCGAGTTAACTTGCACGGAATGGAGTTTAAATTCAAATTTCCATTGGATTTCATTCCATTACTCCGTTTCCTTAGCAAACACAAAACCAAATGCTTATGGCAACATGTATAAGACCACTGCAGTTATGTATGTTTAAATTGAAAATAATGTGTATATATAATAAAAATTAAAAAAAAAAAAAAACAAGTAAGAACATTACAGTCGGGCAAAGCCAACTTTCAAATACCCTACACCACATTGTCTAACGAAGTTCTTATTATATCCTACACCACTTGTGGTGCAGGTACGTGACACGCAGAAGATTTCAAGATCGACTCACCTTTTATTACACCGATCAATTCACAACCCTAATCTGAATTGTTCTAAGCCTGTCTGTCTATATTTCTATGTAAATGTTATGTTAAATTACTGTTATGACATAATTTTCATCATGAAGCCTTGAAAATTATACCTTTCTATTGAATGAACTTTAGTTTTTTAAGCCCTTCTGCGTGTTTATACGTCGTCACTAACTTAATAAATCCTGTATCACAGTCTAGTGTAGGGTATCAAAAATAGTCTCTTTGACAAACCTATTGTTTTTGGGTTTCATGCACTTTTCAAAACAATTTATGAAAATTATTTTGATCTGTATACATACAAATACCGACTGCAACTTTTTTATGTGTATAGGCATGACGACTGCAACTTGTAAATGTATGTAAACAATAGATATATTAATAGATGTAATAAATAGAGAAATGTAAGTATCGAGTGGGAAAAATGCAAGCCAAGCAAACGGAAATGAAGTGCTTTCAAATTTGCTTTGGGGATAAAATTTCAAAACGAAGATGAGTGCCGCAAGTGTTTACATTGCAATAAAACTTAAAATTTATTGGAAATTAGAAGTGAAACTAACAATGTCTTGCAAATAAATTATGTGGACATATCAAGCATACTATCATCATTTCTACTCATAAATTCTTTTATATTATCTTGGGGTATTTCTTTGAAGAGCACATTTGCTCTACTTAAATGGGCGTTTTATTGCAACGTAATACGTAGCACAAACTTTATTTGTGGTTTCTGCGCCCGAAAGAAAAGGCCGTGGTCTTCTTTAACGTCAGCTTTTACAGTTATTCCCAACGTTTAATTCTTCAACTAATTTTGCGAATACAAGTACAACTGTATTTTAAAACACTTAGTAAGAAGTCTTTTCTTTTGAAGGATGATTGTCCGTATTGAAGATGTATGTAATCAAGTAATGCACTAACCAACATTCTCTATGTATAAAAGAATTTTCGTACGATTTAAATTTGTAATAATAGAATTTTAACAAAGACCGATTGCGGGATCCTTACATTAGGTTAGTTTCTTTGCTCTATGCGAGCAAACTATCTATATAACGATGTTATTATGTAATATACGTACATAGCTTATTAAATTGTATTATAAATGCATAGGAAATAAAATAAGTAAAAACTTTGCAAGGGTGCATGGTGTCATTATAGAATACCCTATATAATATACCACACTACAGTTATCCATATATCGACTTTTCAAAATGAAGCATTATATAGGAAGTAGTGGAAAAAGTAGCGGCACGATTCGCAACATTTTTAAGAGCGTTTTGTCAAATAATGCGGTTTGTAAATTAAATACAAGAAAACAAGAAGGTCAGACCGACAGACAAGTGGACACACAAGCTTGGATCGATTCAGAACATTGCGAATATATTTTAAGTTAGCAAAAGCTTAGCACATATTTGTACCATAGCTGATGTAGGGTAAGTATAACTGTTGTATATTCTACAAATATCACTTTGCAAGAAAAAAGATTTCGGAAATACTGTTAAATTTTTCAACAACAACAACACCTATTACAAGACTAATTGTACTCCTCGTTTGCCTCATGTACCTGTAAATAAAAGAGGAGAGCCCACAAACCTTATGTACCGTTCCCATTATATGCTAGCGATATGGTAATGGAACAATTTCTTCTGTCTTGCAGTGTATAGAATTTTTCTAGTAAAGCTTTCGGTTTGTTGTTGTAAAGCTAGTACTATGTGCATTTTGTTATTGCAAAGCTAGCACCGTATATGACTGTTGTTGCAAATTCTAATTCCAATCAGCTGTTTTGATTATTCAGTTATCGATAATCACCAATTACTCTTTTTTCACTAAGGACTAAGCTCTTTTTCTGCATTTCTTTCTGCATTTTCTTTTATCTTCGCATGTTTACGCTTAGAATTAAACAATAATATCTTTTCATTTAATTTTAATTGGCGAATTGTGAGAACGTAGTTATCCGACTTATGTAGTTTTATAGAATATCACATCACGGCTTTGCATTTTAACAGAATTAAATCCCTTTGGTCTGTCATTTAACAGAATTGAATCCCTTTTGCGGGTTAAGTTGGGCAAGTTAACATAGCTGATTGGCGTTAACATTTAAGTTGTTAAGTTGGGCATTTAACCATTTATTTATTAAAAGCGACTCTGTGCTTTGCCTTTCAACAGAGAATTTAGCGAGGGCTTTGTTTAATTTGACAATAAAAATTATGCCGGTCTAATTTTAGGCTAACTTGTAAAATTATTATTATTATTATTATTATTATTATTATAAATTTTGCCAGATAATAAATTCTTTTCTCACAAAGCGCTAGAGCATCAAAAAAAACTCCACTGCACTTGAGATTTGAAAATGCAATGAAAATGCAAAATTTATTGAAATTGGTAGTTACCCTCTCAAGTTGCTAAATTCAAAGTTCGCTCATTTAGTCACTCTCTCAAGTTATCAAATACGAAGAATACATGAAGCCTTAATAAATCCGATATCGGATTCGTTTCTTTTGAGAAGTCGTACATAAATATATTGGTTGAATGCCTATAATTTACTTCTTCTTCTTCTTCTTTAGTTCGCCGTGAAGATTCAGACGGTTTGTTAAAAGTATTATTTGGATTTTAGATTTGGCAAACGTCTAGGTGGTTCCTCTTACCTCTTCGTATTATTGATCGTACAATTGATTCAGGTCTAATGTTCTTACGGTATAATTTAACTGTCATCATAAAAATTTTGAAAAAAAATAAAAAAAAAATGTTATAAAATACTGTGCCTTAAAATTAAAGACAACTTACCTTTTTCGCTTCGTAAGGACTATACTACGATGGCGAGTCTTCTCCCTGCATGTCTTCACTACGCATTTCGCGGAAGAATATGCCAAGTGCTTTAGCTCGAGTTGGTGATTGCGGCAGCATATTGTCGAATTGGTTCAGCATTTCAACTTCTTTAGAATTCTCTTCTATCGTTGGTATCAACAGTTCATCATAAACATTCAATATGGACGGCAACGTCCGGTAAATGTTGAGTAATTTTAAAATCCGGCGACGGTTAAAACAACCAAATGCATTGGGAAAATGCAGATCACAACCCTACCTTAAGCGGTTAAGGAATATTTATCTCAAATTTCGGTTACGTATTCTCATTTTTGCATCTGTTTGTGCAAATGCCTTCACGGGCCTGCAGAAAATTTGCACTAAAATTGACTGAAGCAATTGATGGATAAAATGCGAGATCATATAAACGATGAAGCGAAAACACGTTACACTTGCCACCTGGTTATTGGGGGTTTTTTCACACATATATACACATATGTAAACCATAGCCTATGTGCACTTACAACCACAGATGTGTACATGGTCTTAATTCGTATTAGAATGTGAATTGCTTCTAAACATATCTGTTAGCAAGTTAGAGAATTCAGAAATCAATAGACACAAACCGTTATGCTAGAACTTCCAACTAGGGTCTTAGATACCGCATATATTGTTTTTGAAGCGCTTGCGAAAAAGTTCGAAAATTGTTTTCCAAGTATTCTAGAATGGACAATGCACCTACTGATCCAATAAAAAGAAAATTATTCTGAAAAGTATATAATCGCTTCCTTCCTTAACTCTTTATATTGCAAGTGGTGCATGGTATGAAGAGTGCACAATATGTACTACACGAACAACATGCACAGAAAAATTTTACCTTTATTTGAATGTAAATTAATTGCAACATTCCAAACACACATACCAGACGGTGATAAATGCAGATCTTTATTCGTCGATGCACCGCTCAACGATATTTACAACTTAATATTTGCTTCAGGATTTATTTATTCAGTCTAAAGTAAGAAGATGTACGCATTTTATGCCTGAAGGTAAGTTAGTTTAAGAAAAAAACAATAGATTAACGTTTCATCGATAGAAGAAGAACTTTGGCTTGTGGTTGCCATTCTCTCAACTGACTAGCACAGGCATGCACTCCTATGTTATCTATGAATTAATGACCAATTATATTTGTAGTTGATTTTCAATTTTCTAAGCATTTTGCTGCAATCAGAAAACGTTTTCAAATATTTGCGTTGTCACATACAAACTCAACGGACGCGTATATTTCGGTATTTGTTATGCCTGAATAAATATATAAAAAAAAGTGATGACTGGATAACGGAAAGACCTATGAAACAAAAGCAACAATAATAAGAAAAAACTGAAGTAGCAGAATTCATTTCCGTTCAATCAATTTACGCGATATTCGGGAACTACACTACCACTAAACCGGCTGAAAGATCGGTAAAAAAAATTCGAAAAGTAATGGAACCATTCGAATAACGGCAAATATCCGGGGTGTCGATAATCATTTTTACATTTGTTACTTACCCCCCCATCGCACTTATGATTTCATCCATTAAAACATAGTGGAATAACTTTTTCATATCCTGCCAATATATTTCTATATCTTAGTTTGTAATTATTTAATTTATTTATTTTTTTTGTTTTTTTAGTTACACTATCGGCAAGTACCTGCATTTGGTGTACTTCAGTGTATATTATATTTATAAAGATTTTTGCTTTACATTTTTTATACAAATTTATAAATTGTTGCCCGTGAACGTGCACAAATCCCATAAGCAACAACAAACTTTGGCTTGAATTTTCTAAGTACCACGATTTAAATTTAAGTATCATTAATAAAAGCAAACAAAAAAGATAATCATATTAGGCAGTATATACAATATTTACATAATTTAAAAAGTCCATTTGTTATATAAAATAATTCGAATTTATAAATTATCCAACAATTCATGTCATATATATATATATATATATAATATTATATATTATCATTATTATATATATATATATATATATATTATATATTATCATTATTATATATATATATATATATATATATTACATATTATTATATATATATATATATACATTACTCATATTTAAAATATACATATATATATATATATGTTTATATTACGCTAAAACCAGGAACTTTTTCAGTATGAATGACGTTAATTCAGACTATTTTTTATTACTAAATAATATTAAACAAAAAAAAAACAAAAAAACAAAAAAAACAAAAGAAAAGGAGTGGAGAGGAGGGGAGAGAGGAAACTGTTTATATTTTTTAAAAAAATAAACCCAAAATAGATCGAATTAGATCGAGTGCATTTATCCATATCCACCACTTGTTTGTTTTGCACTCTTTTTTGTTTTTTTGCATAAATATTTTTCAATACACAAAAGTATGCATGTAAACACAGGAACAATAAAACTGGAAAAGGAGTATGCGAGTCCTAAATCAATTGGTTTTGGTAAATATTTTCAGCAAACAGATGGAGATGTTTAAGCCGATCCGTTTACTTCTAATGATCAAGGGTATACATTAGCTTGTGACGTTTCCAATGTGTGCTCAAACTTGATATTCTTTACGTTGGTGGGTACAACTATTGATGAAAATCATAATGCATTTTTCTTTTTATTAAACTTATGCTTAGTAAAATTTTAAAATATTATTTTCCTGAGTATATATATATATATATATTGTATTGACGAAAGTATGTTCCTTCATTGGCTACAAACTTTCACTTGTTTTTTGAGCAATATCTTCCGATTCTATTTGTTTGCTGTGTTTGTGCAAAATAAGTGCATTTTTTCCTTTTCTATAGCGTTAATATTAAAGTTATTTTCTATATTTGCACTCGCAAAATTAGTCGCATTCAATCAAAATTTTAAGAAAGACTAAAGCAGTCCAAGTGTTTCGATTTCGAAAATCCGAAAATTTTGCTTTTTCGAGTTTAAAATACTTATAAAAAAAAAAAAAAAAATATACATATATATATATATGTAAACAGTTTCTAAGCAAAAATAATATATAATTTCCTATTAAATAAAAATTAAAAAAATAAATATATATCCACAATATCAATAATTTACCCAATAGAATAGATATTTGCAGCAAAGGCAAAGACAATGATGCAAATTATAAAAAGATTTTTAACAATCGCTTTTCAATTGGGTATTTATATCGATGACTGAATGTGAGGTTAACGAACAATTTCACTAAAGCGAGCAAATTTTGGTATATAAATATAATATAATAATGCAAAGGACCTCGTTGTGTGGATTCAGTTTTTATGCTTGCTTTAAATATGGCTGCCTGTTAGGAAGGTAACAGCAATTGTTTTTTTTTTTTTTTTTTTTTTTAGAGATGTGCACGTATAATAAATAACCTCCGAAAAGAATAGTTTTTAAGGCCTCTTGTGGACAAAGGAGAACTCCACATACGGTGTTGTCCTCTTTAGGTAGTCATGCTCTTGTATTAGTAGAGACTTTTAATACAAGTCATCTTCCATATTATGAATTAAGAATTTTTTATCCTCTTTGGCGTTGGCATCACGTGACAATGTCTGTTGTACAAGCTTAGGATCGAAACAAGGCTATATACATACATACATGTATATATATATATATATATATATATATAAAAAAGAAAGTGTCAATAAAATAAATTAATTAGTGCTTTAATGATATAAATTACATTTAGGTCTACCTACCGTATCGCAGTAATTCATGTTGCAGCAATTTTCAATTGTAATTTCACATTGCTCCGTGGCAATTGGACGATTAGTTAACGGTGTATCAGTTGCCACAGCCTGTTTCCGTACTACGAAAGTTTTCTTAATTCGCGGTCGAGCTGGCTTATAGAATCGTCTCACGCCGTGGACAATAAGTAAAATAAGTGACAAACATGATACAACGCCGGCAACAAGAACAATGATTAGAGGATTCGTCCAAGTAACTTGATTTTGGCACATTTCCAAATGCCTATAAGTAGGTATTGCATATAAATGAGCAGCTTCTTCACTTTCCGAGGCCAATTCCTTGCAACTGTAAAAGAGTGCACGAGTGTATTCGAATACGAATAATAAATTTAAAAGATTACAAGCTTACATATCATGGCATCCAAATGGAACATTAACATCCGGTTCATGCTTTAATAAACGGCAGAAGAGTGCGCAAATTTCGGTCGAATTTTGCTCACACCGTTCACCACCGAAATCATTTACACATTCACAAGACGGTTCGCCATTGTTATCAATGTTGCAAATGCCGTCGTTAAAACAAAATCCTGAACATTTATGAGATTCACAGCGATCACCATAGAAATCGCGTTGACAATTGCATTTTGGGAAGCTTACGGACGACATTGTGCATGTGCCGTGAACGCAATAGTTATGGCACTCACTGATCTCGCAACGAGCACCTTTATAGCCAATCTCGCATATACAAATACCGCTTTGGGCAATATATCCACCGCCGTTAAGGCAATAGGACTGTTGCATTTTACTTTCATTAGTTAGCGCTTTATTCTCGCTCAACTGCGATCGATTGAGAAGACGATGCTTAATTTTCGTCACTACAACGGAACAATGACGATCATTTACGAGAGTGGTCATAAAACGGGTACGAGCTACAATGCCGGTCGGTTGATCAGAGAATTTAAGCACTACCCGTGGTTGGGCGACCTCATCGATATGCTCTTGCGTTTGATTGGCCTTCAGATATGGTTTTTTAATATGCGCCCATACAGCGTTATGCCTATGATCGGTCCAAAATATGAAATCTTTCGTTACAGCTAAATTTAAAGGTGTACTATCTAAGCCCTTGACAATAATATGACGATCGCTGCCATCCAGATTTGCACTCTCGACGGTATAATGCATGCCCTGTTGATCGACCACCCAATAAATACGATCTGACAATTGATCCACTATAATGCCATGGGGCAGATATAGATCCGTCTTAACTATAATTTCACGTTCGTCTCCACTCAAATCTACGCGTTCTATGGAAGCATTTTTAAAATTCGAATTTGTCCAATATAGTCGACGGCGACAAATATCAATCGCAATACCATCTGGTATCGTCTCTTCTCCAATAAAATCCAAAAGTATCTTGACTGGTTCATTTTTTAATGCATCAATAGATATAAAGTAAATTTTCCTATTTCGCTGATCGGCCCAAAATATGTTACGATTTAATGGATCGTAAGCTATGCTTGTAATCATTTCATTTTGAGTGCGCCGTATAACTTCCTCAACGATATGAGGATCTTGGTAACGCAGCGGTATCTTTAATGAGAATATGCTGCCGTTATTATGCAGACGATCATTAAAGTAAATAACTTCTTCGGTCTCGTCGAATGCAATGGCTGACAATTGATCAAACTGATGGGCCGATGTTGTGATTTCCCGCCAATCTTCGTCGTAGAAAACGATTTTCGATTTGGCAGTTATCGCAAAATCTATAAAAAGAATGAAAAAATTTTTTTTTTTTTATTGATAATTTACATTTCAAGTGCAAGGTACATTAATTTAAGGAAGCATACACATACATACATATACATCTATATATGTATATATTGCATTATTCTAACATTCATTTGTAAATAGAGTCAAACAATTGTGACATTGAGGAGGTACATTAGCTAAATACACAAAACAATTTGATTATTTCCACTACTATGTTAAATCGTTGTATAAATATTTATAATAAAAGTGATTTTCTCCTTTTTTAGTGAAACTAATTATTATTATTATTATTATTAAATTTTCCGCTTTTTTTCTCAATTTCCATCTCACGCACTCAATCTATCTATCTCTTACTACTTTAGTTCGAATTTAGTTCGAATTGATTGGGTGCGAGTTCAATGAATCGAGAGGTAAAGTTTTTGTTATCTTCACATCGAGCAAATTAAGATAATTCAAGTTGAACACGATGAAATATGTTGATATAGCCGTTACATGTAGTACAAGGTTGCATTTAGAAATTTTATTCAGCGTTAGAAAATTTAATGGAATCGTTTAAACCAGGCATGGGCAAACACCGGTCCGCGATTTCGTCGCATCCGGCTCGCTACGTTTGAAATTTTAAATTCAATTTACTCGCATATAGCAACACTGCAAATGGTTTGTGTTTGCGTTCGGAAGAATATCACATACTTACTAATAGCTAGGCCTTGTTCCGGTCACCGTCGTGATATGAAAATTAAAATTGCCCCGTCGATGAGGAAAGTTGCCAACCCCTGATTAAAACGATTCTTCAATGCAATCGTGTTTTTCACGCGCCATAATGGAGCCTTAATGAATATCAAATTCAAATGTACCAACTTGAAGGGGAAAGGGGAAAGTAATAAGGTATCAGCTTATTGATAACTGCAGCGCAATACCGCAATTAAAAAAAAAAAGAAGAAAAACAAAACATTTTCTCAGCCAGGATGAATAAAGTAAACGAGTCAGTAGTTTGCAGCCGTCAATCCAAAAAAATCTTCTACTAGCACTAACATCCCACAAAGAGCTATAATAGGAAGGGTTGGTCTTATATGAAAAACTAAATTTCGTTTTCGATAAATCGATCAATTTACCAGCGCTTCAAGTCATTCCAAGTTAAAAGTGGTGAAGGCAGAGATACATCATTTTTCTAATTTGTTCTGCGAATACACTGTTAACTTATTCCAAAGAATAGTGAGCTCCGGAAAAAGGCAAGATCTCGATAGATTCGATGGAAATGCGATATATTGGAAAGTGAATAAAGTAATTGAAATAAAAATAAAAAATAAAAAAACCCAGAATCAATTCTAGTTCACGACATAAGGAATTACATGAGATTAAAATGAAAAAAAACACACACACACACACACACACACACATGCTTTGCTTTACTATTACTCGATCATTTAATTGCATTACACTAAATAAATGGTAAATAGCAACTGTATCAATTCCTGAAAGAGATCTTTATAGTGCCGATTTAGTAAACGATTTCTGTGAGCTGTCATGTAAAATGTATGTGTAAAGCATTGATCGTAACGATTGTATTCATGGCGGGAATAGAAAGTTGAGTCATCGGGACTCTGATGCTGTAGAGGTGAGGATACGAGTTAGTGGAATCATATAAAAAACGTTCCTGCGACGCAGCCTCTGAAGTGCGTCGGTTAAACAATTCAATAGATTTGTGTTGTAAATTTTACATTCGATTATCGGCCCACATGACTAAACAGACACAACAGCCTTGACTAACAATTCAATGATCGTGGGTTGAAATCTCAAGGGCGCCAACCTTTAAGACTTTAGTCCAGAAGACTGGATGGGTACTTCCGCTTTATAAAAATTGAATTTGTGAGGTGTGGTAAGGAAAGGGAGAAGATTTGAGTAAATTTGCAATCTTTCATGCTAAAGCCCCTGCCTTTGTTTTATCACAAAAACGTAGGAAGACAAAACAAATTTTACTCTACATGCAATAGTGTAGAAAATTCATGGCGATAAGGTTTCTGAATAAAAAGAACGTGTTAGAGTTAGTCAATAGGATAACAGCAAGATATTATGCAAATCGAAGCTAGATGATAACGTTAACAAAATGAAGAGATGTGTTAGGAGTTAACTGGATGTTTAGTTTATCCCATTATCCGGACTCCGGTGCTTACATATCAACAGCAATGCCAATCTTAAATCATTGCGCTAATAAGACTACAAAAGAAAATATGAATGGAGTGGATTAGGTATAGAGGACTTCAATGTTTGAATGTGACACAATGCAGAATCTTGTCGGATACGCCCATGCGGATTGTGCACAACATTCCATTGACAGAAAAGAAATGGAAAAATTATATTCGGTCGTGACCGAGCCCAGCCACCAATATTATATTAATAAGTTGGAGGAAAAGGTCTGTCGTATATTACCACCTACAGGTGATTTCACTTATCAAGTCAAGGCGGGAAAGTACATTGCCTCATGTGGAATCTTACAGTTTAGCGTACTTCTCGTGGAATATAGGAGGGAAACTTTTAATAGCCTTCCCGCGATATAGCCTCAGCCGTAAAATGTAGTGAGGAAGCAAAGCATCGGTCGCTTGTAAAAACTTATTTGTGAAATTAAATAATAACCGGCGAAATTGTAAATGTTCGCAACTGCGAAAGATGGTTCGTCAAGTTTCACTCTGGAAATTTCAGTCTCGTCTTCAAGATCGTCTATATGGGTGAAAATCCACGGCCGAAAGTGACAACCTGCGAGCTATGCTGAAAAACAATCCATACCCTTTACACTTTACAATTGCAAAAGGGCTTAACATTTACCATTCGACTGCTGGGGAACACTTCACTCATCGTTAAAAAATATAAATTTTTTTGGTTTATGAAGGCAAAGATGCTCTCGCTTTAATATTGCACTAGGCTCAATCGTTTAACCGACTTAGCTCATTTTCAGTGATAACCTATGCACAGCAACTTCCCAAGTTTCTGCGGAATTTAACGTCACTATCTTAATTTTTGCTGCGACAATCGATCAATAATATATATACAAGTTCCTTTCAAGGCATAAATAAAACTTTGATACTGTATAAAACTGGGTAGGCGTGGCATACAGATGTTGAAGAACCACTTGTAGATGAAGCGTGGAAATTTTTATCCCTTTTTTTTTGTGTTTTTCAAGAACGACATATTTAATTTGACGTTGCACTATGGGCGTCTCCTTTCATTAATATGACCCGTTTTGAACGCGAGCCCGCGTGAAAGAACTTTCAAAGTTTCTTCCTGATTCAAAGCGAATACCTCCATCTTTGCGATCACAAGTGGTCGCAAGACATTATACAGATAGACGGACATGGTTACATCCATTCAGAAATTAATACTGATCAAGAATCTTTATGTAGTTGAGACGGTCTCTGAAGCTTTCTTCCGGGTTTTGCAAGCGTATCAACAAAGAATCGTTTCTGATATCCTTGTGTATCTTCGGGCCATGACCGAACACTATTGGAAATGTTGCGGACCGTACGGCTTTTTCAACAATTTCCCATATAACGTTTTCTTATAAAAAAAATCGTTATTTGAATAACTCTACTAAGCGGTTGTATGTATGGTTGTATGCGGTATTTAATGATAAGGTACGCCCACTTTCAATGTTTTTATTTGTTTTTATCATAAAATGAAGAAGTTTCAAGAAACTTTGCAAAACTTTAAATTTACGGTCGAACTTGTATGCGCTGGTAAGGACTGACTAACTGAACGCATTGTAAAAAAATATTACGCGACGTGAAAATTGATGCAAAAAACTATCCGTTCTTGCTCAACAACTTTTTAAGATGATCTAAATGATCAAGAAAGGGGGGGGGGGGGGGGCCGGGGCGAAGACTTCTTCCAGATTCTTCCGGACATTTGATAATAAATTTCACAACAAATTGAAGGAAGATAATTATTAAAAATGACTTATAATTAAATGCGATCTAAATGAAGAAACTTCCAAATGAAGCTTTTTGTGAGCATAAGTGCTAGATGAATGAACAAAGACATATATATCGTTATTTAATTTTTCTATATTACAAATTAAATGATCAAATTCATATATAGATGTCCGCTGGTTATATGTATATTTATAAATATATATATACATATATATATATATATCATTAACATTGCATATCTTTGCAAAAACTTATTAATTGATATCCAATAAAAATTAATTGAAAGCAATTTGATTTGATTCATTAGGTTTCGCTGTTACTTCAGCCAAAAGTGCTTGACTTGAAATGCTTTTGTATAACTCAAAAATTCTTCAACCCCTCTACTAATCATATGCGTACAAGTGTTTTTTACGAATCTTTGAAAATTGCATGATTTCTGTTATCTGCTGTGAATCAAAACGTGTCTGAGTAACGATCTGACCGGACGATGGTGTATACAAGATCAGACGAAAGGCGATTAAATTAAAATGAAATTCCATTTCAATACAAACGTTAAGGCATACACACATTTTCCCTATACTGATGTTAATAAAATTTTGTCGTAATGACAAACTAATATATGGCCTATAATTTGCGACTTGAAAAAAAAAAAAAAAAAAAAAAAAACTAAAAGAAATAAATAACTAATCAAAAAAATTAATCATAAAAAAAAAAAAAAAAATCTGTCCTAATTCGAACTCTCGATGTGTTTACAAACAAACCATAAACTTGTAATCAGACAATTCGACCATTGAACGAATACCTAACACGAGACAATGCTTTAAGCAAATCCAAGTCGCATTTAGTTCAGAAAGGTGATCCATGAAATCTGATATGTAACAAAGTTGGGAAAAAAAATTTTTTTTGGGGGAATTTTTAAAAAAAAACTCTCGTTCGATTGCGTACTGGACAAATAGCTTTCAATCCAATACAATAATGAAAGTTCGTTTCGTTGGGTTGCGTAAGCATTCGAGGATTTTTAACAAACCGTCCACGTACTAGATTAGTAGATTAGTAACTTTTGATATCTT